CATGACCCTAAACAAATTAAGCATAATGAAATGGATGGAAGCAACAAGATAAAGTGGCGATCGGAGACTCTGGTGCGCGAATCCAGTCCACTGTATCTCATGACAGATATGAAGATTTGTGCACACGCACGGCGCTTGTGCCAGTTTGAAGGGCCAGGCGTAAGGGCGCCTGATTGGACTTGGCACGCCATCGGAAGCTACCTGAGTCATCCTGTCTGCTGCGCGGCTCGCGGCAATGCCTGTCAGATCGAGATCTTTCAAGGCTCGCACGCTTAAGGGCCTCGGTCCGCTTTCATCTAAATAGAAGTAAGGTCATAAATCGGAGTGGTGCCTAGACTTACAAATTTGATTTGTTCTGCGACGATGCTTGTAACACAAAACAGGTGTGTTTCGTTATGCTAGCTCGTGGTTGTTTTCAAAATATACGACATTGTATGTTATGTCACTGTCTAGTAAGAGTGCTAATTGACGTTTGGGGTACTGTAAGCCCTTGGCCTATTTTCAGTTCGCTGCCAACATCTAGTGTTTGTATCTCAAATTTTTGCTTGTAAGTCAAAGCATCTAATACGGTGAACGACGACTCATCTCTCCAACAGACAGCCAAGGTGCCACCGTACGCTGAAACAATCCACGCCATTCATGCTTTCTGTTTTTAAATGACAACTGAAGATCAGAAAATAAAAAAAGCGCGTTATATTTGATCAAACAAAAACACAAAAAAAAGGCAAAAAAATGTACCAATTTTACCCAGTTCAATTCCAAGCTCAGATGAAAAATACTATTTGAAAAATAGCCACCGGAATGAGTATGATTTTAAATTATATGGTCACATTTATGTGACCCAGACGTTTGCTTACGAGCTTAAGTCAAGATGCATTAGCTTGTTAGCCGCCACAATTGGACAACCAAGACATAACATAAATACAGTTCCACTCATATCACGACACAATGTTTGATTTAAAAAAAATAATAATAAATAATAATAATAATAATAACACTGTTGTTAAAGTGTTTTGTTCGAAGTATCTTACTCTACATGAGGCTACTAAAAATAATGGACGACTCATCTCTCCAACAGACAGCCAAGGTGCCACTGTACTCTGAAACAATCCACACCATTCATTCTTTCTGTTTTTAAATGACAACTGAAGATCAGAAAATAATAAAAGCAGTTATATTTGATCAAACAAAAACAAAAACAAAAACAAAAAAAAAGGCAAAAAAAATGTACCAATTTTACCTGTAAAAATGTACCAATTTTTACAGTTCAATTCCAAGCTCAGATGAAAAATACTATTTGAAAAATAGCCACCGGAATGAGTATGATTTTAAATTATATGGTCACATTTATCTGCCCCAGACGTTTGCTTACGAGCTTAAGTCAAGATGCATTAGCTTGTTAGCCGCCACAATTGGACAACCAAGACATATAACATAAATGCAGTTCCACTCATATCACTACACTCATATCACTACACAATGTTTGATCTCAAAACTAAATAATTGTATAGTATCACCTGAAAAAAGTGGTATTTTTTTGTAATTGAATGTATCAAGGAGAAATGATACGGATTCAAAACAAGTGTATTAATCTTCAAGAAATGTGATTAGAAAGTGTCACAGCAATAATTTAGCCGCATTTACTCCCCGCGTGCCGCGAGATGTTCCGTCATTGGCGTCTTTGTCTGTTATGAAACGGAGCGGCTGAGAATGTTCAATCAGCCGCTTTGTTCGCCTCGTGGCGCTTGTCGATGCGTTAAGAACGACGGTATTTTAGAGGAGACAAAGAAAAAAAACAAAACGCGTTGTCGGGCCACTGCTCGGCGCTCACGGAGGGACGCGTGGAATTGGGTGATCCCACCCCGCAAATGCTGACCCGTGTTGACAGTCTTGCTGAGCAATGTGTCCGTGCTCCCTCCAAAGGACGGTTTGTGTGTAACTGCTGTAGTTGTCCCAACGCGTTTTGTGTTTTATTGTCTGAATGCATCAACTCGGCTCACCGACGGAAGACATGGGCTTCATTTTTTTTTTTTTTTTTCAAAAAACGTGAATGCAACTATGTTCATTAAATATTCAAACATGACTTTGGTGTCTACAAAAACAGAACGACCACACGTGCCATGTAAACATTATTATCATCGATCAACCTAACATGCGTCCGTTTCGTCTTTTTACGGTGGGGCTGACATGATTAAATACTAAAATCGAACCCATCTACTCATCGAATAATCTGATTTTAATTTGCTTTACAAAACCAGTTCCCATCGATTAGTGTTTATTATCCGATCACTGTTTGTTTAGTGATTAAAAAAAAAAAATACTGAGCAACGAATATTATACAATCGGTACTCAGCATTGTTTTCAAAACTGATTCAGTTACTGGCTCTGTCATTGCTTTCCAAAGTAAAAGCAAATGTTGACAAATGACGAGTAGTCGATTAATGGATTTTTTTTTTTTTTAAATTTCAATGAACTTAATATACATTTTAATAGAAACAACCGGTGGGTCAGTGGTTAGCACGTCAACCTCACAGTGCAGAGGTACCGGGTTCAATTCCAGCTCCGGCCCCCCTGTGTGGAGTTTGCATGTTCTGTTGCGGGCCTGTGTGGGTTTTCTCCGGGTACTCCGGTTTCCTCCCACATTCACAAAACATGCGTGGCAGGCTGATTGAACACTCTAAATTGCCCGTACGTGTGAGTGTGAGCGTGGATGGATGTTGGTCTCTGTGTGCCCTGCGATTGGCTGGCAACCGGTTCAGGGTGTCCCCCGCCTACTGCCCAAAGAGAGCTGGGATAGACTCCAGCACCCCCCAGTGACCCTTGTGAGGATGAAGCAGATCGGAAAATGGATGAACGTACGAGGGAAGTTGTGTTTTTTCCAGACAGATACCAGTATGAGATTTCACTCTTTCAGTAGTCACAGATACCAAGTGCCAATACCTGTAATACTCTTGCTATAAAAAAAAAATATCACAATGAACAAAACAATTGTGAACATAACCTTTCTTTCCGATCCAGAATATGATTCGCTGATGTGTCAAACTGGCAGAGCTTTGCGGCAACTACTGCCTCCTTGGCTTTACTCAATGTCAGATTTTTTTTTTTTTTTTGCCTTAAGTATCAGTGGCTGGTATCAGCAGCCTCCATGAGTACTCGGTACTGTACAATCAGGATGGGATCAGGGCAGCCTAAGTGTTTTTTTGGAAACATTACAGTCTTCACTGAACCTAACCAACACTGAATACTTTTACAGACTTTCAATAAGCCAAATAAACAATTCTGTGAATTACCAGTCATCAGTCTTTTTGTCTTCAAAGAACCGAGCATGTTTCGTGAAATGATCTGTTTTTTTTCTTAAAGAGTGAATCCATTAAGTCCTTCTTCCTCACACAGGCGCACTACAAATTTTCTTCAATGTCTACAAAAATCATGAGCGACGTTTTAGATTCATTGAAGACTTGAAGATGGTCTTCGGTGCCCACAAGGACATGTCGGTTGCAGTCTATGAAGGCAACCGGGAGTCCTGAATGTTTACAAAAACACGCACGGCAGGTTCAGCGGCGACTCCGCCGTCCACCGGCAATGAAAGGTGGAAGTTCTTTCTGGCTTTACTGTATGTGACGGTCATGTGATCGGCAAGGTGTACCCCCCCGCCCTCCTCCCACACCTTAAATCAACCGAGAAAGACTTCCAGCACCCCATGACCCTGAACAGGACAAGTAGAAAATGGATGCTTCGTGTGTGTGTGTGTGTGTGTGTGTGTGTGTGTGTGTGTGTGTGTGTGTGTGTGTGTGTGTGCGTGTGTGTGTGTGTGTGTGTGTGTGTGTGTGAGCGAGACAAAGCTCCCCGTCCGTTCTATAAGGATGCTCTGTTCCATCAACGGCATGCGCCACTGCATTGTATTCGTTTTTTTGTTTGTTTGTTAGTTAGTTTGACCCAGACAATGGGATAAAAAAATAAAAAAAAACGAGCAGACGAGTCAAGCCAGCAGGCCTGAAGCATGCAAGGTGCTCACACGGAAACATTCAGGAGGACATGCTGGCAGACACACGGAGCAGAAGCAGGAGGAGGAGGAGGAGGAGGAGGATGACGACGTTACCTTTCCGGGGACGAGGATTTCTCCGAGTTCACTGACATGAGCGGAGCCTGTTAGCCGCTCGCTGGCCGAGGGACCAGAAGCGAACAGGAGAAGTGTTTTTTTTTTTTCCTGGTGTTTGGATCTTGCTGATGTGAGTCTGAGTGAAAGGAGAGGAGAGAATTACTGTCTTCCCCCCTCCTCCCCCCTCCTCCTCCTCCTCCTCTGTTGTCCTCTTTCTCCGAGGAGGATGGAGGACAAAAACGAGCAATGTGCTGAAGATGATGGCAGGACCACCTTTCTTCCTTCCTCCCCTTTCCTTCCTTGTCCGGCTTCACCTTGCCTCGTTCCTGCTCTTTCTCCGCACCTTCCCCCCCCCCGCCCCCGCCCGCCCCTGATCCTGCAGGCCGATGGAAAAAGAGATCCCTCTAAAAAAAAGACGGCGGTCCAGGACTGCCTGCCTGCGTGGCCGTGTTGCTGGTCCCACTGCCAGTGTCGGGCCTTCTGCCGCTCTGCACAACAACAGAGCCCAGAGCCCGGCGGAACATTCCACTGCGCGAGCGTGTGGAGGGGTGTCGCCTTGTGACAGCAACAGGGAAATAAATGCATTTTTTTTTTCCTTCTGGCTCACTCTCTCTTCTCCCCTCCCCTTCCTCCACCTCGGACCTAGTCCCTCCCCCACCTCTCTCTCTCACTCGCTCGCCCTCTCTCCCAATTGCCTTATTACGACATCCTGTATCTCAGGGCAACGCGACACAGATACGTCCCCCCACCCCTGTCCTCCGTTTTCTTCTTCCCTCTCCTCTTTATCTGGCATCCTCACTGCCTTTTCCCTCAACCTCATCTTCATTGCCGCCTCTTTTTTTTTAAGCTTTATTTTCTAGGCAGATGGGTGCACTTTCACATGAGCGATCAGCTCACTGTGAGGTAGCCAGAGGGCGTGCCATGATGTTATTGAGTGTATGGGGGGTGGGGGGGGTATGTCTCCATCCCTCAGTCTGACCTCAATATTAATCTGTGGGTGCACCGATGCGTTTCTATGAAGGTGTGTGTTTGCGGAGTTGGGAGGGAATCCTGAGGTTAATGTGATACTCAAAGTGCATCGTGGGAAGGCCTATAGCAGTGCGACGGGGGGGGCACATAGGACCATGCACTTCCTTAACCAAGATGTAGGACAAAAAAAAAAAAGCATTTTTTTGTAAATCGTACAGAGAAAACATATGAAGTGCAGTACACAAAGTGCACAGACTGAAACAGGGTACACGCAAACCTATAAGCAGAAGTTGCGCATGCCCCCTTCCGATCAAAGTCTCGCAAAGGCCCGATTATCGTATGCCTCTAAAAGATTTTCCTAAATCACAGGTGTCAAAGACAAGGCCTGGGGTCCAGATCTGGCCCGCCAGATCATTTTATGTGGCCCGCGAAAGCAAACCAACGATGTCAACTTTTATGATGCTTCTTAAACCACCTTTCCGAGAATGTGGTTGGAAAGAGATAAGGTCATAAGACAAAACAAGAGCAAGTAGTACGTTGAGCTCATGATCAAACACACGATTGTTTATTGTCATTTGGAATGTGGTGCTCAAAAACAACATCGGACAAAAGCTGCTTCACCAAGTCTGAAGACATAATTCTCGGATTAAATAAAGCAAGTTGTCGTGGTAACTTTTCACGGCACTCATCTCGCCGCTCAATCGCCTCACGAGAATATACCCAAACTTTTCCATGGTATACCTCATAAACAACACCTCAAGTCAAAACACACGTTGCGCTACACAAATTAGTTGAGCTTGTCGGAGGGTTCGTCAAAGAACAGCAAGTAGGTCGCCAATTAACAATTCATTTGTCACCCACTTTCCACTTCGAAGTGAATGCCTGAGTGAAGGACTGTTTATTTTTTTTTCATCTCGTAAAGTGGCGACAACACGATCGAAACAAATATATCGGTTGATGAGAACAACATTTCCAGCCTCGAAGCAACGACATCCGTGTCGCACATGAAAGGACGACATGGTGTCTCTGAGCCAAACTATTATCCTCATTCTGCGCTCATGTAGGCCAACGGCTCCAAGGAACACACTGGCTCTTTACCACAAGAGGAACACTTGTGCCTTTGGGGGGGTAATCTGGGGGGGGGGGGGTTCTTCTGCAGATCTATTTTTACGCACCCACTTTTTGGGTTTCACATGACTGATGAAGAAGTTGGAATCATTTCAGTGAGCAGTTCAACATTGGGGGGAGGCGGGGTAGGCTGACTTTGGGGGTCACGGGCGGGCTACACCCGGGACTTGGTCGCCAGCCAATCGCAGACAGACAAGAGTTAATCGCAATATATGTAAATTTTTTGGGGGGGAACGATGGCCTCTTCCCCACATTCAACATCTTACACCTAAAAGTCACGTCGTACTCTGCTGTCGAGTAAATAAACATCTTTAAGCTATTACATGAGCAACCCAAATTATTAAGGGGAAAAAAACGATTGTGTAGAGTCAGTGGACTCCACACAAATATTTTTTCGGTCCACCTCTAACGGTTGACCCCCCCCCCCCCCTTTTTTTTTTTTTTTTTTTTTAAATACATATTCCAATCACGTGTGCTTGTGACGAGCATCGATGTAAATCATTTCCTGGGTCAGGTCAGGGCGGGGAGTTGAATGCGGGGCCGTTTCGGGACACGGTTGCTCAGTGAGATTCCCCGTGAGGGGAAAACGACACTGAAGAAAACATCCACCCCATCCCGTTTAAAAAAAAACACACACACAAGAAGGCTGCCGCGTACATACATCCATGTGCAAATTTCAAGATGACGAAAGACAAGAGAGGAGGGGCGGAGAAAGAGAGAGAGGATGACTCTCATGAGCAGTGATATTATTTTCGGAGCCAGTATTGAGGCTGCCGCGAGCTATCTTTAAGCGGCCTACTTCTCCATACTGCCTGGTGGATGCTGGCTGGGGAGAGATGGATGCGCGCGCACGCGCAATTCTGGACACACAACGATTGCAATGACTCAAAGCAAGACAAACAGTGGTCAGGGCATTGCTCTTTTCGCTCCCGTCACGCTGGATGTGCTCACGTCAGCAGCTGTAATGTCTAATTACTGCACACTGCCCTCAAGTGGGAAAAGATTCGCATACGCACACAGACGCAACACACACACACACACACACACACACACACACACAAGGTAGGAGTCATCATGTGTGTTCAAATTGAAAAACGGAAGGATGCAAAGGGGGCGGTTAGACATGCTTCGACTACAATTTATCTCACGCACTAAAACCAATCCATTATTCTAAATAAAGAAGTGAAGCAGTTAAGACGTTTTTATTTTCTTTAAAAAGACTAACGGGTGGTAAAGCAAAGAGAGCAAAGAAAGAGTCATGGAGTTCCCGGGGGTTTTTTGGGGTGCCCAGCCCACTAGAATTGATCGGCCGATGTATGATTTGAGATCAGCACAGCTTTTGAGTAGAGGATAGAAACAGGGCTGAATCTTGGCTGACTAAATCAACTATGAGGGAGAGTAATGCCATCATGTTGGAAGCCTGACAAGTTTTGGTGCCTCACGTTTGGACAGAGTATGTCATATTTGTATGGTATAAACAGTGTCTAAGTTGTAGGACTTTTGGAGAATTGTTTTTTATCTCTTCCATTTTAAAAGTTAATATGAACTAATTTGAAATGAAAACATGACACAGTTCAAGTAACAAATGACAAACCCCATGTAAGAAAAAAAAAAGGAAAGAAAAAGCCACTGATGTTCCAATCGAGTCATGCGGTGAGTCATCATTGCTGACAGGGCATTTCTTGAAATTATTACTCTGCCATCACTACCCCTTTCTTGGTTTTGCTTTTGTTGAAGTATAATTGGTAATATTACAAAACAAGAAAAATATATTGGCATCAAAGCCACTGTTTTGCTTGCATTTTTCTTTTCACAAAGAGCTCATTTTCTCCACTTTCTGGCCAGAAACCAGTTGGTCATCATGAGTAAGTAGTGGGCTTGCTCAAGGACGCCTCAAGTGCGCACGCCAAATGAGGGAGGAATCAAACCTGGGCACTTGAGTCATCCATCCAGCCCTTTTGTGTGGAGAATTCCGTTGTCTGCGGTGACAGGAAAGATCTACATAATGTCCTCATCCGTTTACAAATGTGGGTCATCATTCTGCTTGCAGACAACAGCAGCAGCATGTTATGGAACACAAGGGGATGATGGGGCTGGGGGAAGAGTCATGGCACTTCACCTGCTGAGTAAGTGCTCATTACCTTGCTCAGGATGGATGCCACAACACAGGAGTTTGTTTACACGCCGCACATCATTGCGTACCCCTCCCGAAAAGAAATAGGGGGAGTAAGTAAGTCTACAGTGTGAAATTATGGAGGGCTCACGCGATATTTATGAAGTATTATTTCAAAATGGAGACAGTGCAGTGAGTTTTACTTGCGGTCTACAATGCACTGCTGCCCCCTAACGGTTAGAACGAGGAATGCAAACACAACAAGTATCAAATATTGATTCCAACGTCCCCTTTGCACGTTTACACACAAATAAACACACGTACAGACGCGTTTAACTTCTCGTAAGTAGGCTGCAAACAAGGAATCAGCAGAGACGGAGCGGTTCGAAGTGAGGAGAATGAGTATCGACTGTGTTATCCCCGTGCCGGCATTCATCATTGTTGGTACGCGGAGAATTGCTGTTTAAATGCCTGCCGGTCCAATCGATAAAACAATAAGCCCGGATACGATTTGCCACCCCCAATTTTTTTTTTTTTTTTTTTTGAAGCTTCTCCTGCAGTTGCCATTACAGCAGCGTGACAATGCATAACACTTTTTGTGGCTCTCTGGGATTGATTTCACTTATTCCGGCCGCAATCATTTCAGCCCTGACTAGTGTGCTGCCTAAATGTGCTGCCATAGAAATCCAATTAAAAAGAACATAAATGCTTCCTACCAAGAATCTTGCCAACTGCGAGCTGCTTGCTCCCAAAATTCTTCCATCCAATCACTGAGCTGCTTCCTACTATTTTGGCCAATCACTGAACGACCTGACAATCAGAATTCATCCAACCAATCCTGGTACTGCATATTACAAACATTTGTACAACTTATCCCTAATTAACATTCGTACAACTAATCACGAAGATAAATTCGACCAACAAATTGCCGAGCTGACTTTCAACCAATCGTTCCTCTGGCGAAATGCATCTTACCAATGTCTGCCATTATATGCCAAAGATTTGTGTGATTTTTTTTTTAAACCAAAACGTCATCGTCTGTTGTTGCTTGATTCCAAGAAGGGTTGAATTATTGATCATTTCACTTTCTCATTTGATTTCAAATCGAAGCGTTACTTTGAGTCAGGAATGGGATCTTTAATGCTCCATTGCCCGACTAGTTGGCGTCCTACATGGGCTGCCATGGAAATGCCACCAAAAAGACCACACCAGCATTGTTTCGAGGGTTTTTGTAAAGGGTGCAGGCCAACTTACCGCCACTGAACCAACAACGGAAGGCTGTTGATAAAAAAAGACGAAATGACTCCCCTTGTCCCGACTAGCGAGTACAATCACGTCAACTGACTGAGGCTCGCTGCAGTATTTCGGCCTGCGAGAGAACGTGTTTCCATGGCAATGAGCACAAAACACAC